TAATATCGCCTTACGTGGAATTTTCTTTTAAAGATTTAAACGGTATACATAATTCGATGACGAGGAACCCACTTTGAGACTAATAATGGCTGGAGACGGCTTGAATGGGTAATGAAGAAAAACTTTAATATAACAGCAAATGTACAACTTTTCGACAAGTTTTTGTCATCATACAATGTACCTGATGATGACAAATCCCTTGTCGAAACGTTGTACATTTGCTGTTATATTAAAGTTTTTCTTCATTACCCATTCAAGCCGTCTCCAGCCATTATTAGTCTCAAAGTGGGTTCCTCGTCATCGAATTATGTATACCGTTTAAATCTTTAAAAGAAAATTCCACGTAAGGCGATATTATACTGTAAATGTCAGAGAAAAAAAATAAGGATATAAAGCTCTACTGTACAATTATTCCAAAACAATTTGATGGCCATCATTAAACACAACTGCTCGAAAACTGCAATTTACCCTGTAAAAAGCTTCTGCAAAGAACAGCTATGGCAATCTTAAATCACACATTTTCCCGCACTTTAAAAGACATTCCACTGGGCGTGGACATCGGCCTGAAGACAACGTTTAAGAAGAAGACAAAACGTGATTGTAATTTTTAGGGGGGGAACTTGATGGGTATGGTGTTGAATGAGATTAAATTTATTTCGTCTATCTTTATCATAGAAATAACTGTTGATTTCTTTGTGTGATTTGTGAACTTTTTGCATGACGTCTGAGCTGGCTAAACATGATCTTGATTGATAATTGTTGTAATATTACATCACAAAAAAAACTGATAACAATTTTAATCGGAATCTGACTTCATTTATTGAAAGATGTGATAAAAAGGATTATAAGTCATATTTTAAATTAACAACATATCAACTACTGATCCTCTTCGGCTCAATGTTGTTAATGATACCAGGAGATATGCCGAGCTTCATTGCAATAACTTAATGGATCGGAAAGTTCTCTTTCGTAACAATAACCTTCACTTTCTGAATGAGGGGGATGGCTCTGTATTAGCCGTAGCTGGGATGCGGTTGCTATGCGACTTTTTCCGCTTCTACGGAGAACGTTGAAAACTCCTTTCTTTAATACTTTGTTTCCATTGGTTCTTCCTAGTTTACAAATATCTCTGTGTGAATAAATCTCTTCGGAAAGGGTTGTATATGTTCCTCCATCCATTTGTTGCATTGGCAAATGTTGGAGGATTGGTGTGAACTATATATATGTAGAGAGAGAGATTGTTTCCCCGAAAGGGGGGCCGAAGTCCGCCTGGAGGGGGGGTCACCTGTTTTAACCACTCGCACCACAATACAGTAGTGTATTGTCTGTCAGCCAGTCAGTAGACCCTAAAATGACGTCAAATAAGGGACGCTTAACGTTGCAATTTGTACTGTCGTGACGTAACTAAAACGTACGTATGTCAGGAATCACGAGAATAATTAAGCACCCCGTAGGCTACAACACAGCATGACATATGTACTTCAAAAGCAAGAAATAAAAACATTTGTTACTCTTAATTTTGGTTTATTTACCCTTGGAACAACACTTTTGGGGACCCTGCGCAAGTACATCTAGTTTAATATTTTACTGTATAATAATTATTAGCTTTTTAAGAGGCACACACACTTAACTAACGAACACTATGTGAAGTTTTGAAACATCTATTTGTGAGATAATAGATTTATTTATGCACAAAGTTTTGTCTCTAACAGTGAGACCTTACAACATTTAAGCTTCATTAATCCATGTGTTGCTTTCGATTCTAAACTTACTATTATCTATTGTATCCAAGTAAAACGGACATCACGTCTCACCACGTGACATAAAAGTCAACCTACATACTTTTTTTTTCTTACAGCCAGCCGACGTATTACTAGGCTTAACTTTAACTTAATTCTGTTCGCTCACTGCTAGAACATTTTCACAAAGGCTTTATTAAACTTAAACGAAAATTCAAGATCGCCTTTGTTATATTGTCATACAGCACATAAAGGATTTCAGCTTGAGATAAAGAAATATATATAAGAAAACAGAATAAATGGTACTTCTTTAAAAACAAAAACAAAAAACTTCTGGCTAACCAGACGACAGAAACTGGAAACCATTTCGAAAGTAAATAATTAAAAAACAAAAGTTGTAGAATTACTTGAAAACAGAATTTTTTCTTTCCAGATGCTTTTCTGTATTGTTAGTTTCATTATTATATTTAAGATATTCTTTATACTTTATCTCTTATTAGTTATATTCCCCCATATTTTACATTACCGATTATTATCTGCGGGTCGCGGGTTCGAATCCCCGTCCAACCAAACATGCTCGTCCTTTCAGCCGTGGGGGCGTTATAATGTGCGGTCAATCCCACTATTCGTTGGTAAAAGAGTAGCCCAAGAGTTGGTGGTGATGACTAGCTGCCTTCCCTCTAGTCTTACACTGCTAAATTCGGGACGGCTAGCGCAGATAGCCCTCGTGTAGCTTTGCGCGACATTCAAAACAAGCAAACAAAGCTAATGTAAATCCTCAAAGCTAAGCCCAAACTTTTAAAGATATTATTAGGATTACGGCCAAACTTATTTTAAAGATGGGGTGGGGGATTACCCAAATAATGATTCAATGCATTCTAGTTATTGTAGGTTTAATTTTCTTATGAATTTATTTAGAACGTTATATACCCTATGAGACTGTTTAGAAATAGCTTCTTTAGTCAACGAGTTACTTTGGATTCTAAACTTACATGTGATCAGATTTTATCTATTACATTAAATTCGTATTCAAATAGCGGAAAGTAGATCAACAGTCAAAGATGAAAGCAATAAGAAACTTGATATATCAGAATGATTAGTTTTAACACAAATACTTCCGTACTTGGACTAACGTTCGACATAATATAATTTTAAATCTGTATTTCAGCACATCCATCGTTCAGAATTCCCCGTTTCATTCTGACATTATTTTTTAGCGAATTTTATCATCGATGTAACATTTGATCGTTTCCTTAGATTGTGAGGTGAGCCATTCTTTAGAAATGTATGTGAACATTGCGTGTTTTCCTATACTTGCATGAGACTGGCGAAATGAGTTAACCGCTTTCCGCTGAATTTCACTCTCCATATTTCTCTTTTGTTGGTTTTTTTTTTCAATTTTTCGACATTTATTTTTTGGAAAATTGTGTTTACAGCTTCTTCTGTCCAAGATGTATAGTTTACAAATCATTATTACTTATTTATTTTCCCCTCTTAACATGCCTCACGGAAGCCAAGGGTTAAAAATGTTAAAATTCGGAGTTCGAGGCCTGTGGTAGGCACATTACGGACAGCCCATTGTGCATCTGTGCACTTAAACAAAATAAACATACAGTTCATCTCTGACTTATATCGTCTCCCGGTGGGACAGCGGTAAGTCTTCGGACTTATAATGCTAAAATCAGCGGTTCGATTCCCCTCGGTGAACGCAGAAGATAGCCCATTGTGGCTTTGCTATAACAAAAAACACACACACTGACTTATACCCATAGATGTAAACTAGAATGGAGTTAATGTTCTGTGAATTAAACAGATAAAAGTGAAACATTAGCACACACACACACCTTCATTTATTTAGAAAACAATAAACACATTAGAAAAATGTTATTTTTATCTCTAAATATTGGGGGTAACTGCCTTCCCAACACTGGCTGCAGACAGCGAAAGGCAGTAGGAGTTTAAGTACTCAACTCCTAAACCTTAATTGTTCCTCCATGGCTGCTAACTACTTCGACATCTGCGTCTGGATCATGTCTGATAAGTGGAATATCCTTAATGCTTTTAGAAGTTATGACCACAGCCATTTTCCACCATGAGTTAATGGTAATGTCTGGATCATGTCTGATAAGTGGAATATCCCCAACGCTTTTAGAAGTTATGACCACAGCCATTTTCCACCATGAGTTAATGGTAATGTCTGGATCATGTCTGATAAGTGGAATATCCTCAACGCTTTTAGGAGTTATGACCACAGCCATTTTCCACCATGAGTTAATGGTAATGTCTGGATCATGTCTGATAAGTGGAATATCCCCAACGCTTTTAGAAGTTATGACCACAGCCATTTTCCACCATGAGTTAATGGTAATGGACAATTGTTTGTTTTAAGTTTCATCTTCAACGTCTTGGCTCTGATTTGTATAAATTTCATCATTGGTATATATATAGTGCTGATTTGATAGCGTATTTACAAATAATGTAATTTATAGTACTAGAACTATTGAGTTATATATGAAGCAATTATCCAATCACAATTTCGATTTTTTTTTAAAGCAAGTAGTCTGAAGAGGAAACGATAGGCTGTGGCGGAAGTTAAAAAATAAAAGCAGAAGAAATGAAAGGAAGGAAATAAACATTTACAAAACAGGAAAAAAACGTTCACTGGTGCCATTGAGACTGATAGTGCCAGCTCTAATTAATGTCATTATACTTTTGTGCTTATGTTTTTATTTGGCTTATACACAGACCAAAAATTTGTATTTGTGTGTGTGAATAATGGCCTCTAGTGTAAATACAAGTCACAGGGTTGTTCTAATTTGTTTTGGATATATGCGAAAAGCTATTAGTCATCCCTAATTTCTAACTGAAAGACTAGAAGGATTTGTTTGTTTGTTTGTTTGAAATTAAGCACAAAGCTACACAATGGGCTATATGTACCCTGCCTTCCACGGGTATCGAAACCCGGTTTCTAGCATTGTAAGTTCGGAGTCATACCGCTGTGCCACTGATGGCGACTAGAAGGAAGGCAGCTAGCCAACAGCACCTATTTCTTGCTTTTAGGCTACTCCAATCGATTAATGGAATTTGACCATCACCCTTGTAATCCACTTACAGCCCCAAAATACTGAAAGTGATACTGCGAAAACGGGACGAGAACCATAGACTATCGGATTTACAATCCGGCACTTGGTCATGCTATCAATCATATCTCTAATAACCATGTTACCAGACGCATGTGTAAATTCGAAACCTTAACCTTCGTTATAAGTAACAGCATCTGGAGAAAGATGCTCCCAATTTAATATAAATATAGAGATAGGTAAGTTAGTAGAGTATCAGAGTGTGTAAAATTCTAAGATAGGTCTTCAATGTTAACGATCTGTCGATAATTATTTGGAGTGATGGTAGCTGTTTCATAAAGCCTTAAGAACCATTCGTATGCTCAAAATATCAAAAATAATATGTCCATCTTAAATTGACACATTTTTAGAACCACCTGGAAAGGTTAATTCGAAAGCTTAGACCACAATCTTCTAGTCGTCAACAAATGCAATAGCTTCTGAAACAACGAGAGGAGCGAATTGCACTAATCAATACTCTAAAACTGGTTGAGAGCATGCCACAAAGACCAGTAGTGGTTACATCGTATAAGGGCAATATTAAACTGGTTGAGAGCATTCCCCTAGAAAATAGCAGAAGCTATATGGTATTAGTACAGTGTGAGACTAGCTGAGAGCATGCCACAAAGACCAATAGTGGTTTCACCGTATTAGGACAATATTAAACTGGTTGAGAGCATTCCCCTAGAGAATAGCAGAAGCTATACGGTATTAGGACAGTGTGAGTAGTGGTTACATCGTATTAGGACGATATTAAACTGGTTGAGAGCAATTCCCCTAGAGAATAGCAGAAGCTATATGGTATTAGGACAGTGTGAGACTAGCTGAGAGCATGCCACAAAGAACAGTAGTGGTTACATCGTATTAGGACGATATTAAGCTGGTTGAGAACATTCCCCCTAGAGAATAGCAGAAGCTATATGGTATTAGGAC